GCAGCCGGGGATCGAACCGGCACCGCAGAGTCCGTGGGCAGTTTTGCAACCCAGCGCTCAACCGCTGCGCCACCGGGGAGGCCCCAGATTTGCTTTTAATGCAATTTGGTTAATTCACAAATGATAGCCAGAAAGGAATTTTCAATATGCAATAATGGCTAAAAAATGACAAAAAGATAGAAAGGCAACACAAAAAAGTTCACTCCTTCAAAGCTTCTTTACCAAATCTCAAAGAACAACCTCTGCTTTCCTCATTCATAAATTCTATTCACTTGTATAAATATTACCTGGAAAAGGGCTGGCAATCTGTATAATTTCTCAAATGTCTATAGTATAATAACATATTTGCTTGCATTCTAATAGTAATTATTTTATTCTTTGCTATAGGATTTATATGATTAATGATGACTTCATTTCCTTATCAGCTTAAAATGTACTTTTACAATATTATTTGTGTATTTCTTATAAGGGTAAATCAAAAACACAAACTATAAATTAGTTGCTACATTCTCAGTCCTTAGACTTTGTGCATACATAACATAATAAACCTCTTTATTGACATAATAACATTCTTAGACAGTTAATGTGCTAAAATGAAAGTAGGTAATCATAAATTTAAATGATCTTTGGAAAGTTAAGCAGTATATCACTTAGATTATTACAAATGAACTTATTCTAATGGAAAAATGACAAAAATAATATACTATGATTTTTGGAAATACTGCGATATCAATAAATTTCATGCTAATATTTATCAAATACTTAATAAAAGTAGTCAGCTTATTAACACAAAAATATTTAGTTTATGAGAATGAAAGTGGCTATTACCAACTTGAATGCAGGGTCTCAAGTAAAGTCTCCTACTGAAACTTGTTCTCTTTTCTGTATTAGCCAATGGTCTTGAAAATGAAATGTTCATTCTCCTCCCTTGCAACTCACTCCCATCACTCTAAAATCATGTCCATTAACATTTATACCTTCATATCCACAAACCACTTTGTACTCCTCACGCTATTGTGAGCTCACCAGTGCATTTCTCACCTCCGATTAATTCTTTCTTCTAGAAAACAACTCCCTTTCCTTCTGTGATATAACATTGTCCTAGTTCTTCACCTAAACTCTCAGATCTATTTTTTCTTGATTTCCTTTGTGAACATTTTTCTTCATTCTCCCATTAGACATTAATGGTGGCCATGAGTCTAATCACTGAATTTTTGTTTGTTTTTTAATCTATCCCCTTATCTTCTCTCTGATGTCTTTACCTGTCATATTTTTAATGAAGACTACAGGGTGGTAACATCCATGGCTTTATTTCTAACTGTAACTTGGCATTTGAATTTCATATTTTCATATAAAACTGCCTGATGGACATATATTTCTGAATGCTATCTGGATAATTTCTGTTCAAAAAGTGCATCTCATCTGATCTTCCAGAACTCAACCTCTTAAATCTCACCTCACATATTGACACCACCTTTCACAATGGTATGCAAAGTCTACAGGTCACCTTAAATATCTGTTTATTATTGTTCACATTAACCACTTCCTAAACCTTTGTTCATTTACTTCTAAAACATTTTTCAAATATAATGTGTTTCTTCTTTTTTTTTTAAATTTATTTATTCATTTATACAAGCACAGGGTACAGTCAGAAGCACGGGAGGGTGAGAGAATTCACCAGAGACAGAGTGGGGAGCAGAACAGGCAGACTGACGAAATACACTGCTGAGGGGAGCAGTGGGTGTGGCAGGAGAGGTCTGTCACGCCACGTGGGACCCTCGCCAGCGGCCGGGGATCGAACTGGCACTGCAGAGGCTGTGGGCAGCTTCACAGCCCAGCGCTCAACCGCTGCGCCACCAGAGGAGGCCCTTTTCTTTTTTTTTTTAAGATTTATTTATTTATGCATACAAGAACTGGGGCGCAGGCCAGAGGTGTGGGGGATGAGAGGATTCACCAGAGACAGAGTGGAGAACATAACAGGTGGATTGACTGAAATATACTGCTGACAGAAGCAGAGAATGAGACAGGATAGGTCTGCTGCACCATGTAGGCAGACCTGGCCGGGGATTGAACTCGTGCTGCAGTGGCTGCAGATAGCTTCAACGTGCTGTAAGTGGCCAAGAGGAATGAAAATCTGTTTTCTCAGTTTACTATACCCCAAATACTTTGGGCCCTTGTATGGAAAAATAATAACTCACAATTGCTAATGGCTAAGAAAAAAATAAATGGGTAATAGCCACAAGGGAGCCCATATAATGTGTTTTTTCTATCCAAGGTAAGAATGACATATTCCTAACTTCAATTTTTTCTTTCCTATATTATTCCAATACCTCTTTACAAAATTCTCCAGATCCAGAACTTCTCCTTTTATATATACTCTATGATTATTCTATTAATATTTTTTCCTAACACTTTCCAAATTCTTCTTTTCCTTGATATATACTCTTCCAGTAGATTCACCCCAGGGATTGTTCTCTTTTAGAGAACTTTCCTGAACCTCCTTTATTAATTCCTTTAACATTTATGATGCTTATATTCTTGTATTATACTTTTTCTTTACACATCTTTCTTTTTCAGTGGATTGCTATCTCATTGAGGGCAGAAATCTTTGGAGTACTAGTGCTTAGAACAATCTCCTTTCCAAGTCCAAGAACTTTAAAGTATTAGTTGAAAAGTAACACTCTATAGTTGCCATTCACCTATCTCTGCTTTACTGCCTCGTTACAAGTAATTTGCCACCTTAATCTTTCTAGTATTTCATTAACAATTTTTTCATTTGTGATAAAGAAAAGAAAAAATGCACTAGAACACCATAGAAGCCAAACATTTTTCTGGTGGCTCAAGTTCAATCAACTTCAGTTAGCCCATAGTAAAAATAAGGATGACAAAAGAAATGCTATAGATCAAGATGAGTGAGAGGGCCTCCCCTGGTGGCGCAGGTGGTTGAGCGCTGCGCTGTGAAGCTATCCACAGCCTCTGCAGCGCGGGTTCGATCACGGCCAGCCGGCAAGGGTCCCACATGATGCCACAGACCTCTCCTGTCGCTCCCGCTGCTCCCCTCAGCAGTGTATTTCATCAGTCTGCCTGTTCTGTTCTCTGCTCTGGCTCTGGTGAATCCTCTCACCCTCCCATGCTGCTGGCCTGTACCCCAGTTCTTGTATAAAAATAAATAAATAAATCTTTAAAAAAATATATATGAGTGAGATTAGGCTGGGTGGGAAACAGTAGGATAGAGGCTGTCAAAGAATGAGAATTAACTGTGCTCTCATTATTAGAAGAGATTGAAGCAAGCTCCAAATCTGCAGTCTTTAATTTTACAATATATTTCACCACATATGCAATTATTATGATGACATATTTTTATAGCCAAAAAATTTTATCAATCTTCAAAAATCAATGAATCTTTGAAAACCCTGCCTCCATGTCAACCACAATTTCTACTTACTGCCTATTACCTGTTTATTTTTTTTCTTAGTCATTAGCAATTGTTAGTTATTATTTTTCTGTACAAGGGCCTTAAAATATTTGGGGTATAGTAAACAGAGAAAACAGATTTTCACTCCTCTTGGCCATTCTTCTAGGTCCTTGCCTATTTATTTTCACTCAAGTGACTGTTGATAGTATTCCCTTTCTTTTTAAATAGTCCTATTTCCTTTGTAGACCTTTTAGAAATTTATACTTTAATGGTAATTCTATCTATCTTTAACTCACCTGAACACTCAAAACTGGCACTTGGTATTACCTCTTTCACAAATCAACTATAACCAAACACATATCTCAATATTTATTAATGAAATCAGCATGTGCTTCAAGATTGGACAATAAATACTTGAAGACAATACAAATTTATTCATAGCATGTTGATGAATACATTCAGGTCACAGAAATTTTCTCCATAAGTATGATAATTTATACCTTCTACAAGGTTAAAAACTGATCCAAAGCATGCAACAACTTACTCCATGCATTTTGACCAAGGAGAGAAATACTTTCTTAGAAAAATATTTTGCTTGAGAGTAATAATAAATATTTATAAGATGACACCTTTCTCATGAAAATCTCAGAATGACATTTAGAAATGTTCCACACAAGTTTCTTCTAGTTATCGAACTCTAATAATATTAGCACTGCTCAAACACACAATATTTTCAGGTTTCATTTTACGAAGGAGGCTAACAGATGGAACTGCCACTTTGTCCTAACAGAGTTTCATAATTTCTCAAGAGGTAGCCAGAAAATGTAGTAGCCTGGAAAGATGCCTTTCTATACACCCACTCAATGGTAGATCTAAAATGTCAAAGAAAAACAAGCAACTAAAAATGTTAACTTTTTCAAGCCTCATTTACCTAACACTTGCATCACTTTGCTGCTTTCCTCTTTGCCTTTCATTAGTCCCACTTACAGATGTTACCAGCACAGGCCAGAGACTAAACAAGTCCAAATCACCTTCTTTGCAGACTCTCCTGTTTGTTTTCACTCCTGCATTGATTAATGATTCTTGAAATGAAAAGAATGTTTTTTTCTTCCTCTTAACTTGATGTAAACAGATACCTGTTTGCTTCAAGTTTCTTTTTAAAAAAATTGTTAAGATTATGTGTACATATTCATAAGTACAAATTTGAAAATATAAACCTTAATTTAAGTTCTACATTTTTCCACTTTGTGAGAATACAGTACAATAATTGTCTTTGCTGAAATCATCCCATTCTTTAAAAATTCCTATACATAAAGAAAAGAGGTAACTATTAGTAAACTGCTATTCCCTAGCAGAATAGTGTGTCTTTTAAGTCATTATATGTGATACACATGAAGACACAAGCGTCAGTAGCTTAAAAAGTGAAAAAGAAGAGAGGAGACTGGGGAAAGAAGGAAGCAGGATGGAGAGCCAGAAGGAGACCTGGAGGAGGCACATGGAGCAGAGAGACATGTGAAGAAGCTGCGCTTGCCTTTTGGTCCTGGACTGGTTGAAACAGATGTGGAAGTTTGTGTATAAAAATTAGAAATGGAGTCAGCATACCTTAAAAAAGCACCTCGGGGCATGTCTAATGCAGGGTCTTGCAGAAGTGGCAAAACTTCGTCCAGTGGATCCAGTAGAATATTTAGCATTGTGGCTTTACAAGTATAAAGAAAATGTGACCGCAGAGCAAGCAAGAGATAGGGAAATGGGGGAGTTGGAACGTGAAAGAGAAATAGCTCTAATGGAGCAAGAAATAATGGAGAGGCTCAAAGCAGAGGAGCTTATGTTCCAGGAGCAACAACTGGCCTTCCAGCTAGAGCTGGAAATGCAAGAAAAAGAGAGAGTGAGAATAGAAGAACTAAAGAAAATAGAAAAAATAATGGCAAAGGAGGCAAGAATGAATATGGAAAATATAGTTAAGGGTGAAGATGCTGCCCATTTAGAGGAATCAGGCAAAACACTAGCTGAAATTAGTGACCGGTATGGGGCGCCTAACTTGAGCAGAATGGAGGAGCTTGATGAGCCGATGCTATCTGATGTTGCGTTGAACATTGATCAAGATTTATAGTCTCAACCAACCCAAGGGTAATAAATTTTTTTGCTTGTTTCAAGTTTAAAAAAAAAAAAAGTAAAAATGAAGATTTTCCTTAGATATATTGAAGCGGTTAATTGGATTGTTAGATAAATAAAAATAAGTAATAGTATCAACATATTTGTAGTTCCAATTTAAAGTAGCATTTTTGAAGTACAACTAAGCCAATAAATTATTTTGTAACTAAATTTACAAAAATCTCAATGAAATGAAATCCTCAAGATATTTAAATAGATAAAATTTAGGTAAAGTAAGTAAATATCACAAACGTGCTATATTTCTTAAGAAATGACTACAAGTAATGGTTTACAATATAGTGGTGCTCTAATAACAGAAGTTTCTGTCACAATAACTACCATTCTAAAAGAACCACTGTAGGGCTGGCGAGTCAGCTCTTCTCCCTCAAAGTCTCCTAGCTCAAGTTTTCCCATGTGTCCCTTGTTCTTATGATCCAAAATGGTAGTTTTTTAAAGTCCTCAAAGTAGAGCAGAATAAAGAAAGATAAAACTGTCATGGTAATGGATAGCTCCCTTTTAAAGAAGGTTTTTTTTTTTTAAAGATTTATTTATTTATTTATACAAGCACTGCGTACAGTCCGAAGCGCGGGAGGGTGAGAGAATTCACCAGAGCCAGAGCGGGGAGCAGAGCAGGCAGAAGGACTGAAGTACACTGCTGAGGGGAGCAGCGGGCGGCAGGAGAGGTCTGCGTGCCATGTGGGACCCTCACCCGGTGGCCAGGGATCGAACCGGCGCCACAGAGGCTGAGGGCAGCTTCACAACCCAGCATTCAACCTCTGCGCCACCGGGGAGGCCCTATAGGAAGGCTCTTAAAGTTGTTAGATAAAATTTTTGATCTCATTAATTAGAAATTAGTCATATGACTTGCTCTATAAGCAAAGACTAAGCGATGTTCTTAAACTGGGTGTCCATGAGCCCTGATACAAACTAGAGTTTCTACTATGAAAGAAAGAGGAGAGAATGAACATTAGACATAATTTTAAATGTATATTATATAATCTGCCTTCAGGTAAGTTTTAATATTTATTGTTTCAAAAACTATGAAAATTTCTATCAAAATTATAATTTAGGAAAATTTTCACAAAGTTAAAGAAATTTTTTTGAAATGCACAGTTTTATTCTTTGTCAAATAGTATATTGCCTATTATTTGATGAATTTATTGACTAATATATATATTGGAGAAAAATTAAGTGGGTAATCAAATTGAATGTTGACTAATGATGCAATCATCATTGCAACATCTTGGCAGAAGCACCCTCAGGGAACATAAGAATTGTAACAGACTGTGTCCTACTTTTGCGAAGTTAAATAAAGGTGATGCAGAATAATAAATTCCTTATGTTCCATAGGGCTTTTTGGAATAGGATTAGCAAGGGACTGCCTGGTACTCACTGGGGGACATGCCTGATACTCACTAGGGGACATCTCAGCTTCATTTACTGTGAAGACTGTACAATGTGGATTTCACTGTGTTCATTTTTACTTTCTGTGATGGCTTTACTCAAGTGAAAAATAAGGATTTTCATCAATTTACAATAACAGCACCCTCATTTTTCATGATAAATTTGTTGCATCCTTATATCCATCATTCAGGAGCTATTTATATTCATTTTACAGGTAGGAACCTGAGACTTAGATCTTTAAAATTATCTGAGTAATAAATTGCAAGACCTAACTTGAAATCATAAACTGAGAGTCCAATAATGTTTTTGCCAGACTTGCTTTCAGAAGATATGAAGTTCTTTCTTACTTTCTGTAGGCCTATTTACACTAAAGTCAAAGTAATTTCAGGGAGTCTTTTTATTTAAAAAAAAAAAAACAAACTTTGTGCAATGGGGATTAATTTTATTGATATATATTAGATGTTTTCTCACTTACATTTCTTTTTTAGCAGGGTTACTGAGCTATAACTGATATACAAATAACCATACATCCCTAACACATATAATTTGATACATTTGGGTATATGCAAGCATCATAAAACTATCACCACAATCAATTCTTGTGTCCTTTTGTGTTTTGCTATATTTTTTTAATGTGAGGACACTTAATTTACAATGTAGCCTCTTAACATATTTCAAAATACAAATGTCATTTGGTTAACTAGGCACTTTCCAACATGGTAGTCATTAATAATATGTGGCTTCTGAACATTTACAATGAAGCTAGATTATCTGAACTAACCTTATAACTTTTCACTGCTTTGAATACTTAGTAAGAAAGGTGAAATATTTCATGACTGATAATCTTTTTTATTGATTACTATTAGTGTAATATTTTAGATATTGGAAAAAAGACAAATTAACTTTTCAGGTTTCTTTTTAGTTTTACCTAATATGACTACTAGAAAAATTTTGAAAACATATATAGCTCATACTTGTGGCTTGCATTACAATACAGTGATGAATGCTGATCTAGATGAATTATCCTGAGAATCCTTCCCACATATGTTCTAGAAGGGTCCTGAAATTCCTAACTACCCTGGTACAATATTATGTAGAACTAACAGATAAATTAGTTGATAGGTAGAATTCTTAGGTAAAGATGATCGTCAAAGATAAGAGTTCTTGGCTGAAGACAGTGGCGGGTCCAGACCTATGAATGCAACCTCAAAAATCCAAAAGTAACAATATGAGCCTTAAATCATCATTGAATTCAGTAAGTACAGAGGCTGTTACATAAAGGCAAACAGGCAGAGTTGACTACAGACCAGCATGGGTGCTGTATATGTAAATCAAAGTATTTCATCCCCTGTTGCCACCTGATTACATAAGCTTAACTGATCTTCTGGTGGCAATTATGCTTTGGGGATCTTGATGAAACCAGAGGGGAAAAAATGAATTTTATATATGTATAAGAATATAAAAATAAACATAAATGTATCTTCCAATGAAACGAACCTTATTTTTATTTTAACTTATAGCTGTTAGTAGGTGCTCTATTTTGAGTTGTATCAATCTCTTGATATCTAGATTTTCTTAAAATATCATAATAGTAACTTCAGAGCTTTTAACAAGTCTTTTTTAAAGTGACATTTCATGGTATTGGCATTAGAATCTTAACACCCTTCCAAGAGCAGATATTAAATTGTTTGCTGATTTATATTAATATATTTTGGTGATTTCCATGATCACTACACTTAATATTAGAATTCCTATTTACAAATTTATTGTTTTGGTACACTGAATTTATAAAAATGCATGGAAATCATTCCATGATTACACATTAATGAAAGTGTAATATTTCAGTCAAATTTCAAGTATTAATTTACATTTTGATGATTTCCACATTCAAATTAGTCATTTTTATACTAGAAGTATCTTTAAAAGGCAGTGATTTCTTTCATACCTCACAAATGTCTAATTTGTACCTTTGTACCTTTATTTTTTTAAATAATATGATCTAGAGATGTGAGGAAATTAATAGGTACTACTTAAAACCGGTTTTATTATTTTATACATATTGAAGAAAAATAAAGAAAAAGAAAAAGAAAATAAAGAAAAAGAAAAATTCATATTGTTTTGAATCATAGACCCAAATAATATGAATAAACAAAAATTAAGCAAATATCTTATTATCATCAACTATGCAATTATCATGTAAATTTTAAAATGAATCAATTTAGATATGAGCTAAAATAATTCAGATGCCTCTGGGTAACAGTTTATACAGTTAATAAAGAAACTAAGTATCAACAAGTTGGCAATAGCTAAAGAGTTGGGGATTCTATTTGATGCTCTAAATTTCAGGAGGAAATGACAGCATGGACCAAATAAGTCATTTCAAGGTAGTATATTTTGACATTTATTCATGCAAATGTATTCTGCCTCACTTTTGCATGGAATGAAATGTTTTGATGTTTAGGCAAAAGATTGCATCGTTTGTTGTTCCCTGTATCTCTTCACCGAATACCTATCAGAAACTTTGAGATAAAGTTTGGATAAGCTTGGGAGTAGCAGCTAGTAAAACCTTGAAAACTACATAAAGACTCCAAATTAATAATAAAGCTTTCCAAAAGTGTAGATCCACAAAAATAAAAACATAATGATGACAAAAAGGCTTACCTTGTAGTTGACTTAAAATATTGTTTTTGGTGGAACAGTGGAATTGTCCAATCACTTGTCATAGGAATCAGTTCTCAGTGCATTTAATGAGTCATCTCATAAATTCCATAGATCTTAATTCTAAATTTTGGGAACAAAAGCCAGAGTTCAGTTTTTAATTTTAGAAACTATGACTAGGAAAACCATTTAAAATAATTTAAAATAATTTATTTAAAATCATTTTAAGGTGCTTCTTCTCACTACTTCCTAGTAAAGAAAAGTTTGAAATAGTTTCAGGGATGTTTTACTTTTAGCCCAATATATGTTAGTCCATAGTAAATATACTTAAGCTTTGTGATGCAGTACTTCAAATGATTCCAAACTACAAAAAAGGTATAAAGAATTGCATTCATACTGTTTACTAGAGAGACTTTAGTTCTGGCTCCAGAAAACAGTTTTGGATTATTTTTATAATTGGCTAAATTGACAATTAGAATTATGTAAATTTAAGGTTGCAACATTTTGCTTTGATACACTTTTATACTGCAGGGTCTACAAATCAAAGATGGCTGTGGAATAAGAGTATGTGTGACCCCAGTAATGATAGTCAAATTGAAAGTTGGGGAATGGACTGGGTCTTTTGACAGGATGAACCAGTTCAAGGCAAAAAGAGAAAGTGGTTCAAATATATCCACCTCAACTTCAAGAATGGTGAAGAAATTACAATCAGATAAAGTATTAATTATTTACTATAGCCTTCATTCATACATCCTTTCCCTCCCACTCTCAACAGCAAACACCATAATAAAAATATTGTATATTTTCAATAATTACATGCTGTAGTGAATTTAAGAGAATTGAGGATTTTTAAAAATGTCATAGGAGTTAATTCTTCAAGGGGAAAATAAATGGTACAAGACTGAATTGTGGAAAAATAGA